GGATCGAAGGAAGAGAGCAAAATCATGATCACTAGCACAGAAGCCTAAATCATATATGATTGAAGAAAATTTTACAAATCATGCCCTCTGGGCTTGTTTAAGACCATATAAAGCCTTGTAAAGTCTTCACACATGACCAAGACTATGAGGCAAACTAGGAGGAGGAGTCATATAGACCTCTTCAGATAAACCACCATGAAGAAAAACATTTTTCACATCTATATGAGAGAAACTCCATTGACGAATAGCTGCCACAACAATTTCTGTGCAAATTGTAGTCATCGTAGTCAAGCCCATACTCTTGTGCAAATCCCTTGGCCAATAATCTAGCCTTATATCTTTCCACAAAGCCATCAGATTGGATTTGATTTTGTAAACCCACTACAACCAATTGTGCGTTTACCTGAAGGTAAAGACACCAACTCCTAAGCTCGTGTCTTATGTTAATCAGAAAGCAACTCATTCATAGCCTATTGCCAAAGAGGATCAAGTATGGCCTCCATATAGGAGGTTGGTTCAAACAGAGTGTGTATAGAAGTAAGGAAGGAACAAAAAACAGAAGAGTAACACGAGTTAGAAAAACTAAACCTATTAGGACACTTCTGGATGCGTTGAGGGTAGTGAGGAGTGTGATCCATGGTGCCAGAACTTGATTGGGGAACATGAGATGCAGATAAAGGCACAACATCTGTGGAGGAGACAGTAGGAGTTATGCGAACAAAAGTATGCACAATTGGGGGCAGGTAACAGACAAATCAAGCAAAGAAGAAGAGGAGGAGGAGGAGGAGGGCAGATCAGACATAATCATATCACCAACATTTGTATCAGGGGAAACATTAGATGGAAAGGGATCAATATAGATGAGATATGATTTATGCAGAGATAATGAATCAGATGGAATAGAGAAAAAAGGAATATGCTCCATAAAGACAACATGACGAGAAACATAGAGTTTGTGTGTACTAGGATCATAACAATGATATCCTTTTTGTCCCTCATCGTATCCAAAGAAAAACACATAAGGCTAAGTGAGCAAATATTTTGGTACGATTAGCACCAGGTAGTAAAACAAAATGGTACATCCAAACACATAGAAGGAGAAATAATCAGATATCTTACCACATAATTTTTCAAATGGTGAGATACCAGAATTGAAGATTGTGGGAATGCAATTTATCAGGTGAATTATTGCAAAGACTACTTCACCCAAAAAGAGCAAGGAACACTAGCTGACAATAACAGAGAACGAGCAGTCTTAATAATGTGATGATGTTTCTGCTCAGCTACTCCATTCTGCTTAGGTGCGTCAATAAAAGAAGACTGATTTCAACAAATCCAAGTTGTCTTAATTGAAAAATCCCCAGAACCTATATGTTTCCAGATCCGATGACCCCTCAACTCCTTTAACACAACCCCATAATTCAGCACCTCCACACTCAAAAGACTCCCCTAGCAAACCCTCCAAACCATTTAGTTGCCATTGAGAATTAATCAAAACATCAGCAACTTTTGGAAACGTTTGAGGCAGAACCTCCAATCTACACAAAAAAAACATCCTAACCTACTCAATTGTCACACCAAAAGTCAACCATCAAACCATCTCCAACAAGCACAGGAGAGCTATTCACCACTTCAATAAAATAAGGTCTAAGCATTTCAAAGCCTTTAGAATGATTAGACCCCAAACACCTTAATAAATGTTTGCCTCTCAAGAACTTAGAAGCAAAAGCTTTAGCCCATAATGAAACACCACATAAAACACTTCATACCTGTTTTATTCTGAAAGCAGCTTGAACATCCTCAAGCTTTCTCAACCCCAAGCCTCCCGCAGATTTTGGTTTAGTAATCTTCCCTCATGCCACCCAATGTCTTCTCTAAACCTCCAGCCTATTAGACCAAACAAATCCAACCATCATGGAGTTCAATTTAGCAATCACAGTTTTAGGCAAATTCACACAAGCAACCAAGTGATGGGCACTGTAGAGAAAACATACTGCACCATCAGAATCCTCCCTATACTAGACAACATTTTGGTATACCAACCTTCCAGTTTCTACCTGAATTGCAGCAATAATCCTTCAAAATACCTAACTGTGGTCCTACCTTGAATGACTAGACACCCCAAATAAGTAAAAAAAGATAGTTCTTAAGTGGGATCCCAGCCAAACCAGACAAAGCACCCCTTTTCTTAGCTGATATGAACTTAGAACAGTATATGGAACTTTTAGGCAAACTAATTCTTTGACTAGAGCAATTCTCATAATCTTTTAAAAACAAACAAAAGGTTCTTAAGTGACCTTTTATCACCCATCAAAAAAATTAAAGTGTCATCAGCACAGAGAAGATGAGAAATAAGCATAACATCCCTCCCAAGATGAAAATGTTTCACCTTAGCCTCCTAAAATAATCTCCGTAATCCCTGGCTAAGAACTTCTTCAGCCAGAATAAATAGGCAAGAAGACATAGGATCTCCCTGCCTTAAACCCCTGAAATAGGAGAAAAACCCCTTTTTTACACCATTCACAAAAACTGAAAAAAACTGATTCCTCAAACAATTAGAAATAATCTGAACAAACAATGGAGAAAAACCAAAAACATACATGACTTTCAAAATAAAATCCCACTACAATCTGTCATAAGCCTTCATCATATCCAATTTTAAAACCATATTTCCATCCTCTTCTATTCCAATCTTCTACCATTAATTGAGCAAGAGACACACGCTTCCCACCATTTCTACCTCTCACAAACTCATGTTGTTCAAAAGACACCAGCTCAGGAAGAAAAACAGCAAATCTAGTAGATAGCAGTTTGGTAAAAATATTATATAAAAAATTACAAAGGCTTATAGGCCTAAAATCAGCAAAGGAGACTGGATTCACCTTTTTTGGAATTAAAGCAAGCAATGTAACATTGACAAATCTTGACACTTGACCACCCTTTAAAAAGAAATTAACTGCTTTTAACACATCACCTCCAATTATACTCCAAGTAGCCTGAAAAAAACCACCAGACATACCATCTACACCAAGAACACTATGAGCAGATATAGAAAAAACTACATCTCTCGCCTCTTCCATAGAAGCCTACTTAACCAATTCAACATTATGTACATCACTAACCAAACTGGAGATACCATCAAACAAACATTGCTGAATCTAGTGAGGCTCAGATTTATACAAAGCAGAACAAAACTCCTCAGCCACTTGCCCAATTTCATCCTCAGATTGAACCCACACCCCTGAAGCATTCTGAATTCTCAAAACTATATTTCTCAGTGCTTTACCTTTGGCTAAAGCATGAAAAAACCTTGTGTTCTTTTCCCCATCAACTGCCCACTTCAAATTAACTTTTTGTCTCCAATAAATTTCCTCCAATCTCTAAATACCATCTAGTTCACTTTGAACTTTCTCAAGAGCTTGAACATTTTCCAAAGAATCACACTACTCAAGCAACATTTCAGCATTGCTCAATTCCATCTCCTTAACTTTACTTTTATCAAAAATATTACCAAAAATCTCCTTATTCCACTTCTTAATATGCCACTTTAAATATTTTAGCTTAAAAAAAAACATTTTCAATAGGATTCTCATAATAGAAACCATCCCCTTTGGACCTTACCAAAGACAAAAAACTAGGATCTTCCAACCACATCTTGAAATTTAAAATAGGAGACTCTTTACTAAAGAGAATCAGGCATCCTAACTAGCAAAGAAGAGTGATCAGATCTCCCCTGGCCAAGTGCATAACTTCAGTTCCACCTAAAACACCCCCCATTCAGCATTTAAAAAGACCCTGTCAATTGTTTGCCACATTCTAGCAGAACCTTGGTCATTGTTACACCAAGTAAACCTGCTACCCAAAAACCCTTCATCCAATAAACCTACCTCATGAATAGTTTCCCCAAACTCGCTCATTGAAACAATAGATGTGATGTGAAACCCGCCAAGAATAACAAGAACCAACAATGAAAAAGGAACCCAAGATCGTTGTACGATCAGATTTGATGCTAGACCTCGACTTGTTATTTATGAAAAACAAGAACCTTGGTATATAGACCTCAACCCACTATTTGTGATACAAGAACCTCGGTATAAAGGAAGACGCCACAAACGGTGTGGAAACCCGTTTGATAAGTCGTTGGTGAATACCACGGAAAATCCCGATAAGTTCGTTTAGTTCTTCAAAGAACCATAGATTCCAAGTGGATCATGGTCAATGGGCCTCCACGAACTTGCTTGATTCCATGCCTCTTGAATCAATCCATTGAGTACCTCTTTAAACTTCTTTGCTCGTGCTCTCGTAACCGGCCCAATTGAAACTTGAACTAAATTCCTTAAACTTGTGCTATGATTTGCATCAAGTTGGATATGAACCCACCAATATTTCCTCAAAATTTAGAATAAACATAAAGTCCCCTACAACCATCCATGGACTAGACGCAGGAAAAGATAACCCCAGCAAATGTTCCCATAGTGATCTTCTAACAACATGATCACAATTAGCATAAACTACAGTAACAAAGAAAGATGTAGAACCTAAGTAAGTCACCTCAACTGTCATAGCCTGAACATGTTCACAAATCATTTTAACAGAAACCCTATCATCCGATAACAAACATATGCTTCTTTCAACAAGCCCATTTACAAGAAAATGATTCATATTTACACTAAAGGCAAAAGCCCTAATCTTATTCTGTTCCACTTTAGGCTCTAAAATAATAGCCATGCACACCCTATATAATCTCACTAGTTTTTTAAGTCTCCTTCTCTTCATAAACCTACTAGCTCCCCTCATATTCCAGGATAAAAAGTTAATCATGGAAATGAAGAAAGTACATTACCTCTAACATCAAGGCTACTCTGAACATCAGCAAAAGAAAACACAACAGGCTGAATAGAACTCCCATTATCTGAGTAATAGCCTTTATCTGGAGGTTCTTTCTTCTTCACCAAACCCCTATCATCATCCAANGTTAATCATGGAAATGAAGAAAGTACATTACCTCTAACATCAAGGCTACTCTGAACATCAGCAAAAGAAAACACAACAGGCTGAATAGAACTCTCATTATCTGAGTAATAGCCTTTATCTGGAGGTTCTTTCTTCTTCACCAAACCCCTATCATCATCCAAAGAAAAAAGAGATGCCTCCCTCCTTATATAACTACGGTCCACATAAAATGATGAACTAAAATATGATGAAAACTGCTTGTTAACAGCACATACCCCAATATGATCCACCCCAACATCATTTTTCACAACACAGGAATCCACCTCCACAACTGGATTCCTCACATTTAACTGCTCATCCAAACAAACACCTTCAATAACTTGAGACTCCCCATTTACTTCCCCTAACTGTTCCTGAACTTGAGAATCAAGAGAGTTAGATTTTAAATGAACAGCCTTATTCACAGACTCCCCTTGGACATCATTTCCTCTACTAACCTCCTTACCTCCTTCAATAGAAACTAAATCAACAACAACACCCACTACACCATTCACTAAATTATTTTGCACCTCCATTTGACTAACCCTATCCTTACCATCATTTCCAACCACATCAGTCTCCAATTCCAACACCCCAAACCTATTTTCATGTATCACAGGTTTAAATTTCTGCATCTTCGCCTCTTTCTCATTACCCACCTACAAAGGAGTTTTCCCTTTCACAAACTTAAGGAACTCCTCATGCCTAGGATCGGTATTAGTTGAAAGCACTTTCTCCTTACCTTTAGCCTTATTTTCAATCGCAATATCTACATTCCCAACCCTCACTTTCACATTTTTAGCTTCCTTGTTTCTCTTTCCACAATGCAAATCAACGTGTCATTGTTTCAAACACACAGAACAGTATTTGCAATTCTTTTTGTAGACAATACATTGCAATATCCCACTATAGTCCCCTATATCCAACCAAAATCGCTTAGGATTATTAACCAACAAATTCACCTCCACACATACCCTAGCAACCTTAGGCCCAGTCAATTGCAAAGTTGAATTATCCATAACCAAAATCCTTCCAATAGAACTAAGTATATCCCTTAAGCTTTCCTTATTGAACAAGTGAATAGGAAGCCCAGGCAACAAAATCCAAATAGGAATAACAGGAGGCTCAACCCCAGGCAATAATTCAGGGAACCGTTTGAAAAAATGAAACAAAAATCCCTCAATGTATTTAGCATCTTTTAGCCAAGTTTTAACGTAATCCTCATACAATGCAAATCGAACAAGGACATGTCTAGGATCAAAATACCCATTGAAAATTCACCCCTAGGAAGCCATCTAGAAGCAATAAACTCCCTAATGACACCTATAGAAGGTTTTCCATAAGCACATTTGCTTATCAATGTCTGGGTAAAACCCTTCGAAAGCTCCAAGGTTTCATTAGGAGTTCAATACATCCCAGGTTCACCATATTGAACACCACCCTTTTTTTAGATTTCAGCTTATCAGAAGAAAGAAGAGGCATATCCAAAGAAGAAGAAGCACCCAAAGGTCCCATGTCCTTGACTGAAGAAGTCCTAGGTTCAACTGAAGACGAAGTAATCAAAGAATTTTTAAAGAGAGAGACAAAATTTCTAGAAATGTCAGGAGGTTTTGGTGAAAACAAACGTTGATCTGAGCTCATAGTGTAAAGAAAAGCAAATCCAAAGAAGAAATTCACAAGAATCAAGAAGAAATTCGAAGGAAAATGAAGAATGGAAGAAAAAGTTACAAAGAATGTGGAGTTTTTCTCTCTAGAATGAAATTTTTGCCCCCTCAACTAAACCATAAACCCCAAACTCCAAACCCTAAATCCTAAACCTTCATCTCTCTTCCCTATTTTCTCTCTCTCTCTCTCCTTATTTTCTCTAATCATTTTTTTCTTTCTCTATATTTATATCAACATTACAATAACACAATTATACTAATCAGTTATATCAATCAGTTACTCATGCATTCTAATACACCAAACAATTACACAAATTTATAATACCAACTCAATTTGTCATTCAGTTATTTACATAAACTAAATAATTGTACTATTTAGTATTGCGACATCATTACACTAATTATATATATCAAATTTAGTATAATGATAAAATCTTTGTGTAATGATAAACTCAATTTGATGTATTTAATTGGTGTAGTCATAACGTGATACCAAATGGTATATCTATTTGGTTTATTTAAATAACTGAATGACAAATTGGGTTGGTGTTATAATTTCATAAAATTGTTTAATGTAACTTTTTTGTTTATTAAAACACATGAGTAACTGTTTGGTATATTATAAGGTAATTATAACTAATTGATGTAACTGATTAGTGTAATTGTGTTGTTATAATGTTAATATAAGGATAGATAGAACGGAAGATGATAAGTAAATAAGGAGAGATGGAGTGAGAGATATGAAAAAATTAACTCAAATCTTTACGTATTTAAAAAAAATAAATTATCAATATGAGAGAAAAAGAAAGAGAAATATATAGAGAGAAAATAAGGAAGAGAGAGTGAGACAGTAATGAAAAGAGAGTAATGAAGTAATAAAAACCGTTTTAGTCATTTTTTTAAAAAAATACACTTACAATCAAATAAGTTTCCTTAATGTAATTTAACTCAAACAAATCTAAATTTTTGTACCGATTTTCAATTAAAATAAATACCGGCCTTAAAAAAACTCATTTTTCAATTTGGTTAGCATTCGTATACGTAGGCCCACANAGATTTCAGCTTATCAGAAGAAAGAAGAGGCATATCCAAAGAAGAAGAAGCACCCAAAGGTCCCATGTCCTTGACTGAAGAAGTCCTAGGTTCAACTGAAGACGAAGTAATCAAAGAATTTTTAAAGAGAGAGACAAAATTTCTAGAAATGTCAGGAGGTTTTGGTGAAAACAAACGTTGATCTGAGCTCATAGTGTAAAGAAAAGCAAATCCAAAGAAGAAATTCACAAGAATCAAGAAGAAATTCGAAGGAAAATGAAGAATGGAAGAAAAAGTTACAAAGAATGTGGAGTTTTTCTCTCTAGAATGAAATTTTTGCCCCCTCAACTAAACCATAAACCCCAAACTCCAAACCCTAAATCCTAAACCTTCATCTCTCTTCCCTATTTTCTCTCTCTCTCTCTCCTTATTTTCTCTAATCATTTTTTTCTTTCTCTATATTTATATCAACATTACAATAACACAATTATACTAATCAGTTATATCAATCAGTTACTCATGCATTCTAATAAACCAAACAATTACACAAATTTATAATACCAACTCAATTTGTCATTCAGTTATTTACATAAACTAAATAATTGTACTATTTAGTATTGTGACATCATTACACTAATTATATATACCAAATTTAGTATAATGATAAAATCTTTGTGTAATGATAAACTCAATTTGATGTATTTAATTGGTGTAGCCATAACGTGATACCAAATGGTATATCTATTTGGTTTATTTAAATAACTGGATGACAAATTGGGTTGGTGTTATAATTTCATAAAATTGTTTAATGTAACTTTTTTGTTTATTAAAACACATGAGTAACTGTTTGGTATATTATAAGGTAATTATAACTAATTGATGTAACTGATTAGTGTAATTGTGTTGTTATAATGTTAATATAAGGATAAATAGAACGGAAGATGATAAGTAAATAAGGAGAGATGGAGTGAGAGATATGAAAAAATTAACTCAAATCTTTACGTATTTAAAAAAAATAAATTATCAATATGAGAGAAAAAGAAAGAGAAATATATAGAGAGAAAATAAGGAAGAGAGAGTGAGACAGTAATGAAAAGAGAGTAATGAAGTAATAAAAACCGTTTTAGTCATTTTTTTAAAAAAATACACTTACAATCAAATAAGTTTCCTTAATGTAATTTAACTCAAACAAATCTAAATTTTTGTACCGATTTTCAATTAAAATAAATACCGGCCTTAAAAAAACTCATTTTTCAATTTGGTTAGCATTCGTATACGTAGGCCCACATGACGACGGTGATTCGGTGAATATGGTAATATCATTGGACCATTTGTTTGGGTTTACTAATTAATTTTCAAAAAGGCCGCCGGCCTTTGATGACGCTGAGAAGGGAGGGTTTTCCGTGAAGTATATCTATTTAGGGTTTGAGAGCGAGGCGCAGAGCGATGACTGGTTCTGTTATTGCTGTCCCTGAGGGTGGTTATGCATCTGACTCTCCTCCAGAACTAGAACAATCATGCCTGAAGAAACAGAAATTGAATGAGGTAGATTTCAACCTAGACGAAGAAGAAGAATCACGACAATCAGAAGAAGAAGAGTCAGAAGACAATTATTACGGAGATGGAGGCGGAGACATAGACGTAGACGAAGACGAAGACGAGGACCAAGACGGAGATAGACCCTTATGATTTAACCCAAGAAGAGTATGAGAGGTACAACGAACAGATTAGTAACAGTAAGGTAATTAAGGCATTTTTTGTATCTTCTGTTCATCGTATTTTTCTAATTAACCTTAAACTGTTTCTATACAATTCCCCTCTCCTCTCCTCTCCTCTCCTCTCCTTTGATGTAATATTTGGATTCTGCTGGGTTTTTTATTCTTTATGTAACGTTTGATGTGTACAGGGGTTTCCCGTTGACGAATTTCCCTATAAGCATCTGGGGGATGATTAAACCAATAGTGAACTTTAATGAGAATAGTAATATTTTTTAGAAAGTCAACAAATCTTCGCTCCTGGCCATTGCCAACTACCGTAGTTTTAAAATTCGGTCCAAACATTAATCCGGCAGAGGGATCGGAGTCAATGGATTATTGGTTCAATCATTGGTTACTGATAAGATCGGTTATATAATAAAAAAATAATTAATAATTATAAATAATAATTAATAGATTAAAAAATCACAATAATTATGATAATATCAAAAAACATGTAAAGCTAAATACAGATACATAAAGCAATAAATTTAACCTCATCTCATTTCACAGCATAAAAAAACCGTACACACATAAAATTGCCTTCAGAATATAAGTCCAATCCCAGATGATATTGGCGTGCATTGTTAGATTGTATAAATAAAGGGATAGATAAATCAACAGGCATACAAAATTAAACATCTTGAAGACATAGTAAGAGGGAGGTCTGGCCTTCTTGATCTCCGCTGGAGATGCATCCGTACCTATTCCCAATATGTCATAATCTTTGGTCTCCTTCACCATAGCTTAAAATCAGAAAATTCTTTCTACAAACAAGATTTCAAGCCCTCAGTGACTCAAACTAAGAAAAGAAAATTAAACAAAAACAAATTACTCTTCCTACATTTATATATACATGAACAAACACAATAAGCCAGACCAAAAAAAATACAAATTGAAATTCAAGAACAAAGAATGCAACAAAGCCCCCATGTTTCAAGCCTAATAAGAATCAAGCATTGCGTAGTGGAGCTTCCTCTTGAATCAAGAGTGTAGTCTGATTTTTCAGAAAGTGAAGAATTTCCTTTTTGTCCTCAGTGTCATGAGAACGCTTTTGTGTTGCTTTTTAAGGATTTGTTATTTCAAGTAATTTTATATTATCTTTTCTGGAAAAAAAAAAAATTTCAAGCCTAAAAATTTCTAAAATCAATAACATCCTAACAATATTGTAACCCACAAAAAAAA